ACAATTCAGTATTCAGTATCACAATTTAAGTAGTAAGCAATTCAGTAGATATTAGTTCGGTATCGTAAACTTTATCCATGATTTTCTATTCCTTCATATCAGTTTATATCTTATTAAAAATAGTTTCACCGCAGGATGCCGTTTCTGCCGGTATCAACGAGAACAGTAAGGATCCCCTCTATCATGTGAATACGTTATAGTTCAGTTCACAGTTTATAATTTGTAGTATATAGTATTTAGTTCACAGTTCTTATCGCTTCGTTATGTCTGGCTAAAGTCGTATCCACAGTTAGGGTTCACCACAGTCATATGCTAAAAAACTACACACACACCCACCACTCGATGATATTGGTTAAACAGATTTTCTCATCTTTTAAGGATTTTTATGTTATTCTTTTATTAATAAGGTTCGCCACTAGATGACCTACTTATATATCATATATATATTATACATTAACAAGTCTACACAATAAGCACAATATATACACTTTATATGTACAGTTATCGACTCAATTAAATACATATAAACACGCAACACATACAATCATGAATATGCTTGTATATTTACACAAGACATATATGTATTCTATAAGCAAACACATACAAGTTGTTCACTCATACATGCACATGTTGTATAACCTACAATTATACATATATATAGGCGTCACACATACCTACAACTCGATAACTAGAATGCATAAAATTTGTATATACATATAAGTAACAATATGAATATCTAATTCTATGTCATACACAACATTATGTAGGTTTCTAATCATATACAATTGTACACATGCGAATATGATGAGTTCACAGAACTTGTGGTAGAAAACTTAAACAGTTTATAAAGTCTGTAAACAATTCGTTTTGACAAAAAATAATTTTCATAAAATATGAGTGCATCTGAATGAGACTAACCTAATCTATTACCTACAATCGAATCAAAAAATATTGGAATACTTATTGATTCGAGTGTACAGTCTTATCTGAATCCCGATTATTATTTAGATAATTTTCTTGTTATAAACAAAAACATGTGGGTTAAATGACGATTACTTGTGAACATAATTAAAATATAAAAGCGGATCGAGATTTACCATAGACAGGCGACCCCGGTCACCGAAATTGCCACGCGCCACCACACACATGTCTCTAATTCACAACGTGCTACTGCCAGAGCAGCACCGCCGGACCACTGCTGGACCACCGCGCGCCGCCACAAACTATCATGAATTGACCAGAATTCATCGTGAAATATTTCTTGCACATGGATTCAGTGCGTACATGGTGAAATTGCACCGGAAAGAGCCAGGAATATGCGAAATCGCGTGACCAACCACCGTGGATCTCCTTCTTCTTCGGTTGCAAGTCATAAAGTGATTCCTCTGGGTTTCCAATCGCACAGTTTGCAGAGTCATCTCGACTCTTCTGCTTGCCGCGAAGAGAGCCGTGCATCGTCACAAACCACCTCGTGCAAGTCGGTGGCAGCCGCAACTCCCACTCACAGGTCTCTTTCTCTCTCTGCTTTCTCTCTCCTTTCTTATTTCTTCCCTTTCTCCTTTAATAGAAGGGAAGACGAAGAGCCCTGCGCGCCTCTTCTTCCTTTTTCTTCAACGTGCAGGTTTCGACCTCCTCTGCGTCTTCTTTGGCAACCAGAGGCGTACACCCCTCTAGTAGTCCTAAATTTTTTTTCTTTTTTCTGTCACCAAAATGATGTACTAAAATAATATCGTTTTGATGCTCTCAAAACGACATCGTTTCACCTGTATCTATTTTTCCTTTATTCATATCAAAACGTCATCGTTTTTGGAGTTTTTCAAAACGACGTCGTTTTGGCTTTTTCTACTTCTGAGAAGCAGATGAGTTGGGTTTGTTTTTCTTAAACCGGGTTGTTACAATATGCTCCCATATTAGTAAGACATAAACTACCAATATATGAGAAAAACTAAAATAAAAATAATAATTTAAAGAGTATATAGTGATTTTAATGCGTAAAACGCATTTTGTCACTTGAATCTTAAAAAAATTGCAGAATTACAACAATAAATTCAAGTGCCAACAGTGACTCCTTTAATTTTTCAAACATATACCCTTCCAAAAATATATATATATATATATATATGTATATAATAATAATTTACTATATGAAATCTCCGTATGGAACATCCAGCAAAATACAGGTGGTTTAATCAAAATATACCTTCCAAAAGAAAGAAATTAGGAGAAAAGCAAAAGAAAGCATAGGTGGGATGATGTGAGAGTCTCAAGTCATCTCGTGAAGATGAGAATTGAGGCATTACCTGTCCTTATAAGACCCGTGAAGAAAAAAAAAAACAAAATTATCTTTTCAAGTATGTATGTGGGAAACATAATTTATTTATTCCCCACTAATTGTCAAAAGATTATATAGTTTAAAGATTTAACGTGTGACAATCACATTTTTGTAGTTTTCAACTCGTTTGTATTTTTAGAATACTTAATAAATTTTCTTGTTGCACGACAATTATAAGAGTTATACATATTCTTCAAAATAGAATTACAATAATACATGAACAATAATATGATATTCTTCTCATAAACCCTAAGTAGAGAGCTGATCCAGAGCAACATGGTTTTCTCTCCTCTATGAACTCAAATCATAGTTCCTTCCGCATAAACTATCAAAAATTAATTACAAATTATATATTCTATAATTTTCAAATATAAAAATCATTTTGGTAATAATTATTTACTTCAAATTTTTAAATCTAAAAATATAATTTAGTTTCTAATCAACTATAATTTATATATTGTACACTTAATTTTTAGAATTATAACCCAAATGTAACACAAAATAAATGTTTACTTAAACCTGGAACTAAATCCTTACTTATTCCTAATAGATATTAAATAACCAATTCAACTAAAGAAATATATTTGACTACACATGCATTTTAATCTATATAAATGTGTCAAACACCTTAATATCTCTCCAAGAAACTGAGAACAGTCATAAACTGAATCATGTAGATCCTGTGCTAAAGAAGTCCAGACATAAACTCGGCAAAGAAGTTCCAAAAATGATTTGTTCATCCTTCACCCACATTATGACACTGGTCACATGAGACATAGCTCTGAAAACATAAGCATCTTGGTGTAAAGCTGTGTAAACTCAGAGAAGCAAACTTATCCTCATAATCTTCTTTGGGAATTACAACCATAATTTTTAGGAGCCTATACATTCGGTGCCTTGAATTCATTCATTTAAAAGAAGTGATGTGAATAAAATAAACCCAGCAAACAAACACATTCTCCAATTTTATTTTTTTCATGGGCACATAAAAAACTTGTGGCTACCCTAATTCTCTCGTGACCCAACAGGGAGCCAACCATATCCTTTTGCAATTTCACACCAACAAAGAAACAAACCCAGATAAGTGTGACCAGAATTGAACCAGTACAACCCTTTTTGGAACTTATCTTTACCCTACTTGAATCTCCATCCTTCTAAAATTTACCTTGTAACCTTTTGAGCTGTTTAGTGGTAGGAATTTAAACCTACAATTCACGGCTGCTAGTTTGCAGTTGACTGGTTTTTGCATGAATTACATAAAGAGACTTGATGGGTCAGTCCAAAATACTTTCTTAAAAGCTTATTTTATATATGTATACATACATGATTAAGAATGTGTAGATGGGTATAAGGAGAATGCAGTAAAAGCAACAGTTTTTCTTTTCTCCTATAAATCCAACACTTTTGTATTGCTCTTTTCTTGCTCAAAGTCTTTAGCTACCTGGAAAGCTTGAAAATGTCTTGGATTTTGATAGTATTTATTCTCAGTCTCTCCATCAGTTTTCTCTCAGAGGCTAGAAATGAGAGGAAGCTCCCATCTGCTGTTGTTGTTGGAACTGTCTACTGTGACACATGTTTCCATGAGGATTTCTCAAGGAGCAGTCATTTCATTTCAGGTAATTCATTTCACCAAACCATTATTTCATACTGAAGCACTTTTTTTCTCTGATTTTTTCTTGACATACTTCTGTGGGATTTTGAATATGCAGGTGCTTCTGTAGAGGTAGAATGCGAAGATGGGACTTCAAGGCCAAGTTTCAGACAAGAAGTGAAGACTGATGAACGTGGAGAATTCCAGGTTCGTTTACCTTTCTCGGTTAGCAAACATGTCAAGAAAATAAAGGGTTGCAGAGTGAAGTTGCTGAAGAGCAGCGAACCATACTGTGCTGTGGCTTCAACAGCAACTTCATCTTCACTTCATCTCAAGTCAAGAAAGCAAGGAATTCACATATTCTCAGCTGGGTTTTTCACCTTCAAGCCACAGAATCAACCAAATGTCTGCAACCAAAAGCCAAGCATCCAGAATTCACACGAACCCATTTCACACAAGACTGGAATTCCCTCTACTGATATTCCACCATTTCCTTATCCAGTTCAAGAACCATTACAGCCTGATCTTCCTCCTCAGGACCCTTACCATCTTCCTCCTCTCCCTCTACTTCCTCGATTACCACCATTGCCACAACTTCCTCCTCTTCCACCTCTTCCAGGCCTCCCTGGATTTCCACCATTGACTGACAAGACTAAACAAACAAAACCTGTTAGAACAAGTCAAGTTTCAGACCAGAAAGTAGCAAAGCCTGATTTTTTCTTTCCACCAAACCCTTTATTTCCACCTCCTTCAATATTTCCTCCAAACCCATTTCAGCCTCCTTCAGTTCTTCCTCCCAACCCATTTCAGCCGCCTCCAGCTCCAATCATTCCTCTGCCACCAATTACTATTCCAGGCCTAACTCCATCACCTCCACCTCCAGTCTTTCCATTCCCTTTCCCTCCTATCACATTCCCACCTTCCCCTGGATTTCCTGGGATTCCTCCTGCATCTTCTTTACCAAAAACACAATCTCCTTAGTTGATGATTGTCTATAATTTACTCTTCCATGTACAATATCTCTTCGACAATAATATTCATACCAGGCTACTTTTCTCCTCAAGCATTTTATTGTTAAATAGATCTATGATATGACATTTTGTTATTAGTTTTTCCAGAAACAAGTGGGGTTTGGTTGTTTTTTGGATTGATGTAATGCATGTGTTTGTTGCCAATAACAAGGATAGGACACCAAAAATTATTGTACTTAGAATAAAGTGCTGAAAGGCTTTATTTTGTAAATCCTTGCTTTTCGTTAAACTTGTTTTGAAATATTTGGCCAATTGAGCCAAGTATTCTAAGAATTTAGGGGGAAAAAAATAAGGAAAGATACTTCTAGTCTAAAATCTCTTTGAAGCCAGGAAGAAACAGAAAATTTAAATGGGTATAAATAATGATTCTCCTGCAAATGGTATATATCTAAAAAAATAATAATTTTATACTGGCCCAAGCCCAAACACCATTAACTCAACAAGGTTTGTCCCTAAAATTTAATAACTTCTGGATCTAAACTACTAAAGATCAAAAGTTCAACCTTAAATTAAATTATTAGTAGTACATGATTTAAACTTTTTGTATGCAGTTTGACAATCCAGTGTAAAAACTAAAATATCACAAGTTACTAATATGTGCTAATCATAAATATTTTAGCCAAATCGAATAGTTCACTCCTCCCCTCCCATTCTTCAACAAATAACTTCCATTCTTTCTCTGCTTCCGGTCTGATAGATTCCTTTATTCATGGTCTCTAGTAGTTCCTCCTCTTTCTCATCCTCTTTGTTCCTTTGCAGTTTTCCTCTTGTATCATATAGCTACTTGGACAACTTTTCGTAAATTATATTTTTATTAAAAATTTCTCTTCTACTTTTACAAGTCAATTAAAGATGTTAACTCACACTTTGATCATTTGACTGATACTCTCAATTGCACATGATTAAATACAGAAATCTATATAAATTATATTGTAATCAATCGAACAAGACTTACCTTTCCTATGGGTTAAATCTACTTAACTAATAAAATATTTTTGTTGTCTGTTAAATTAGGAAGAACAGTAAAATTACATATATACTCTTGTACTAAAAATAATTCAGCCAAATTGATTTTTAGTCTATTATTTATTTTATTTTATTTTTCTATTTCCTTCATTTTTCTAGATTTCCAAAAACTATTTCTTCAATTTTTCATTTTTAACTCGACCAAAAAATCTCAAACAATTAGTTTTTATTATTAATTGTGACTTGTTTAATAATTTTTTTTCTTCAACTTTTTCTTTGCTTTGGTATTTTTACTAAAGACAATTTTTTTTTTTGTAGAGAAAGAAAATGACTACTATACCCATTTGATTATCCTCATTCTTCTTGTTGGTAAATATATTTAACACAATGTTGTTATATCCCTTTGATGATTCAAAATAATATAATTTATACATAAATTGATAATGTATTTAGTTTACTTATTGAGTAGGCTTGTAAATGTACTTTGAGATTGTTGATTGGGATTTATAAAAAAAGAAAATTACATTTGGCCCATAAAATGAAGAAATAAGAAAGAGAACATAATATATGAAACTGATCATAAAGCTCAATATGATTGAATTATTTCTTACTATAAAGTAGATATATAATTTTAGTATTATTTTTTTAAATTCAAAAGTTCTAAATTAACTAAAAAGAGGAAAACTACATATTATTTTTCAAACGAGGTATCTGTTTTCTACTTTTAGAAGAAAGTGTGTGTATGTGAAAAGGGATAATGTGTATTTTGTGAGATTTCATTAAACCTTTTATGATTCTCATTTTTTAAAAATGAAAATTACTTCTAATAACAAAATAATTAGTACTATTAAAATAAAAATATGATAGAAATATAATAAAATATAAATGTACAATAGAATACAAAGTAACTGTTAAGCCTTGATTAATAACTAATACTTTATGTGGCATAAATATTTTAATGGCAAAAATAAGTGTTTCTTCGCTTTCCACAAATTTATTTCTACATCACTTCATTTACCTTTTTTGATTTTGACAAAAACATAAGAAAGAAAAGTTGAATTAAACTATAACTTTTTATTTTTCTTCTAAAAAAAGACGCTAAAAAAATTGTCAATATTATTATTTTTTATTTTCTTACAAAGTTTTGTGTGCTAATAAGTAAATAGTTTTCTAACTTGGGTTTTACAGTAAATCAGTATGAGTTATTTAAGTTTATTTAGAATTTAATACACTAATACAAGCGAGCAAATGCACGTGCGCTGTGTGTGTGTGTGTGAGAGAGAGAGAGAGAGAGAGTGTGTGTATATGTGTAAGAGAGAGATTTTCAAACTAAAAAATTGAAACTCAAATTTTAACGGCGAAAAACTGATGGGCTCACATGTGAAGATAATGAAAATCAAATTTAGACGTTTTTAATTGTGTTCGCACACATTTAATTCATATATATCTAGTATACAAAGAAAGTATAATTACTTTTTAGGATGATTTGACTTAAATTTTACATTTTTTTTTTAGTTTTTAAATAATAATCACATATGAGATTTTGATTGTGAGGTCTATATATACTAGTAACATGTAAAATTTAAAGTTAGAATAAGGATAAAAAACATGGGTTTGAGGTTGGTCAAATAACTGAGAAGCATTAAAAAAAGGACCTTACCAGATATAAATATGTAACTGTAGGTTTCAAGTCTAACTAAACCATTGGGGTACTGTAAGTTGTAGTGAAATTCTTAAAAGAGCCCCTCAATTGTGTTGAAAAGAACATATGACATGGTAGTTGATAATAATGTGAATATACATTTTTATTATATTTGTTGACTCAACAAATACTTATTTTGTTATTTTTAATTTTTTTCAATATGATTCCATCATGTAATAAGTTTTTATTAAAAAAATTTAAAAATTTATCTTAAAATTTAAAATTTTAAGACTTTAAAGTCACTTTTCTATTGAGTTGAAAAAAATATATAAAAATTACACGTGATACATCATTCTATAATGTAATTTGTCACTTAGTAATTTCTCTTCACATTCTGCCCTTTTAACTTTTTCCTCCCCCTCACATCACTCTCCCTATATAACTATGTAACATGCCTCCTTCTCATATAATATTCATTCCATTTTCATAGAATTATGAGGTGAGAGACATCTAGAGAAAGACAATAGCTAAAGAGAGTTTGGTTAGTTTGAGATCTGAGAAAAAAATAAATAGAGAGGAGATGGAGTCTAAAGGACTAGAACTTAGCTTGACTTTAAATTCAACATATTTTCCTAAAACTATAGATGACTTAGTGAAGGTTTTAAAAAAAATTGAGAGTGATAATGATAAGGTACCAATATTGTTTGATTACCTTCTCAACCATGAGAAAAATGTCAACAATGTCAAGAAAGCTATACAAGGACAACTTCCTCATTGCGTGCAACTTCTTCAAAATGGTAATTAGGATCTTATTATGATTTTATTAAATTTTTTACTCTTCTCACACATATTTACACATATATATCTTAAGAAAAGTTTTACTCTCATATATTAACAAAGTTTTAATGATTTTAAAAAGTCTTTATTAATGATATTTATTTTTTTATTTTGTTATATAGTTATTCATAATATGTTTTCGAAGAAAAAGATTGCACTCCAAGAGTTTATTTTACCACTAAATATGTTTGGTCATCATGATCAAAAGCCAATAATCTCTAAAAAATCTACCAAAGAAGAGAATGATTCAATCGCCGCTCATTCTGCTCAGCTACTTTATGAATTTATCACTGATGATAACAACGATGATAAGAAGGGGAAAGTATTGGTTAATTCTACTAATCCGGTATACCACTAAGATTCAAATTATTATAAAATTTTCTTTACATTTCTTTAGTTTCATAAATCGTACCCTCATTTATTATATCTTTGGTAAAGGTTTAGTACTAATTGCATATTGTTATGCATTTATTATAAAATTAAAGGTACAACAATGCAAAGGGAACAATAAGAAGAGGCCATTTATGACATTCAATATAGTTCCAAGTGCATTTAATTGGGGAAATGAGAACAACAAAGAGGTCATTCATGAAATACCAGAGGTAAAATTGTTGCATGGCAAACAAGATTTTAACCCCCATATACCCGAATTAACGTTAAGTCTTAATAAGCAGCTTCATCAATCCCAATTATGGAGGTAGGTCATGAAAACAAATTATTGGGTCGCATATATTTGAGAAAAACATGGTAAGCAGGTTGTCAAACTCGAGTGCTAGTACAATCATGGTAGCAGTGTTGGGAGCTCACAAAGGATGCAAAGTCC